CTAGTCCTCTTTCTCAAGGGTCTGTAAAATGATTCGCATAAAATTCTTTTTATTGATAATAACTACATCTTCTGCTGGGTTTAAAGTGTACTATTTACAGCAGCCTTTACTCTATTCATTATTATTTTGGCCATTGTCCTAGCTTTAATAACCTGTTTAAAAAGCTGCAATCTTTTAACATTATGCCTGAAGGAAACCACCTTGGCTCATATTTAAATATCTTACCCTAAGTCTTCTCACTTCATGAGTTATCTGGCCCCCATATTCTCCTGCTTTCCAGCTTCCGTCTTTCATTCTTACCACTTTATATCAACCTTTCTTAACATGAACTTGATAAGAAGAATCTGGAACTTCTATTTGTACGTCATCTAAGCTGTACGTCTGCAAATAGAAATAAGATAATATACTTAAATTTTCCTTGAAATGTTCTCCAATACTGCTCTGTACATCGAATATACGACTCGGAGCCACAATACTCACAGGCATAGCAAAGCTTTTTCATTTCTTGACCGTTAATCAATATCAGTTTCGGCAAGATGCTTTTATAAACTCTATTCTAAATAACCACTTTAATTTTGTCAATGTTTACACCGCCTTATATGCATCCATAATATAGTAACCCATTCTCCTCCAAGTGTTTTGTCAAAAAAGCAATTTACCTTCCGAGTTCCTAGAAATCACTAAGTTTCCTTCTTGCCTAACTAGCTTGCCCTCTTCTCCCAAACCAAAATCCTTTTCTACTTTTAGTTATTTTTGTCTGTCCACTTTTATACTCACGTATTTATCGTCAAATGAATAAACGGAACAAACGGGCCTTAACTTAATCTCCCACCCTATATCTGCTTCGGTCGTTTTCAGTCAATCGGTCCGCTTTGCCATGGCGACATAAAGCCTGAGAACGTTCTGCTTACTTCATGGGGTTGGCTTCTCCTTGCCGACCCGGCCCCCTTCAAGCCTGCTCTCTTGCCAGCCGACAACCCAAGCAGCTTCACATACCTCTTCGATACAGGCAGCACGTCGCGGCGACACCGTGTGTGTTGCCTTGCCCCGGAACGCTTTGTCACAGATGAGACTTGGCCATCTATTTCTGTCACATCACAGGTAATCAGTGATAATCTCTTTGGTGGACAATCGACAATGAGTAGAATATATTTCGTTGAAGTTGGCTAGTTTGATGGAATGACGGAAGAGTTGACGTGTAAGCCACACTAAGTTGGTGATATAACAAATGTAAAACTTAGTAAGCTATTGGGATGATTTGCATATAAATGGGTATGCAGCCAGATCAGGGAGTTAGGGGATGGTAAAATCGTTAAGCCAACACAACAGTGAAGAATAAATGAATGAGTGATTAAATGAAAGTCAGAAAAAATGATAAATTAGGTTAATATCA